TCTCTAGCGTAGTTTTCTTAACCTGATTGCGCGGTGAGCGGGTGACGAACTCCTTGTGGTCCGGGTTCACTCCCGGGGGTAGGCAGAAAAGCCACATTTTCTCCCAGATTTAAGGTATTTACAATGGAATCAAGGCCGAAAAGTTGCGATATCCATAATACCGAGCCTAAGGGTTAACAACTCATGGCTTCTGGATACTAAAACAAAACACAGCCATAATTTTTTCAAAGATAGCCTTAACACCCAGATCTGAATGGGTACCAGGTAAAGTCGTCAGAAGTAAAGGCGGCCGAGGTGACTTTAACCACATAACCCACAGGCTGTCTTAATAATTTAGCCCTAGCCCTATGTGCCCAATACAACTAAATGCGTAGTAAATGGCCTTTTACAAGGTTCGACAATTTAGTAATGACACTAATTCCATAAAAAATTAAAATAATCAACAGTTGAAGATATAACCTGTATTTGATTCAAAGTAAACCCCTTGTGCATTGATACAGCAAGTGGCACGATCTAACAAACACTGGAACGACCTCTCTAGTTCTTCTGTTGTTATGGTCCTTAAAGTCGATGTTACAACTATTCTTGTTTTGATGACGTCTCTTGGGTACTCAACCCGATAATGTTTTTGGTCATCAGACAACGAATGTGGTACAAACCGGCAAGCAACATTTTTCTTGCCAAAATCTTGCACAAAAATTTTATGGATGGTCTCTCTGTTAACACCAGATTCATCTGCTATAATCCTCACAGTAAAACAATGATCTTCTTGTATCCGTTCTCTGACTTTTGCAATGAGTTCATTCTTACGAACAGAAATTTGACGTCCAAGTATAGGTGCATTAGTAATCATTTCCACAATATTTTTGAATAATGAATACCACCTGAAAATTTTTGCACGAGATAAACAATTATCCCTTTAAACTTGTTGCATCAATTCAACTGTTTCAATGGCACTTTTTCTGAGTTTGAAAAAGAATTTAATGTTAGCTTTTTGTTTTGTGCTGATTATGTAACAATGCACCTCTGACAAGGTCAACAAAATGGCAGATTGTTTGTTGTTTGCTTATCCAGCGACAGTGAGAAGTTCCCAGAACATAGATGAATGTTGCCTCTTTAGATTCCATGTTTTGCTTCGTAGATGGCATTTCTGTCTTGGTCATAATAAAATCAGTCTCATTACTTAATTGGAAGACCTTGCATTTTTTTTCTTTTTCTTTCAAGGTGACACCTGTATGTTGATAGGATCATATAACAATTCAAAGGCTTTGAATTCATTGTATAGTTAACTGTGAAGAAATTTGTCAATCTGAAGGTCATTTGGGAAATGTGATATGGCAATAAACAGACACTATGACGACAGCTGGTAATCTGGTAATCTTAGTTTCAGCCTCATAGCAAACGGTTCACTTCATAGTTGCTCCGCTTCTGTGCCAACTAAAAGCACCCAGAATGTTTATCAAAGTCCCTTGTGGAAAGACTGACAGACTGCTGTCCAAGCATATGCATTGGCATATACACGCATTAAAAGCATACGGTAGAGATCCGAAGTGCTAACACAACGTCCGACATTAGAAATGCAATTTATCATAGATGGTCGCAGATATCACCAACAGATCAGCAGTTGCACGCGCGATCAATTTTAATCACAGAATGAAACCATCAATATTGCGACAACAGGCATTGCGCCATTTTCTGAATCTACAATTCACACCACCACGTTGGTCACAGTCGAAAAACGTTACAAATGAAATCCGCAGCTCACAGTGTCATGTCATGCACTCAACCCAGAAGCTGGGCGACGAAATATCCTTAGTCTACAAATAGAGCGAAAATGCAACGGGCACCGTCTGGCAGAAGCAAAAAAATTTGTCACGACTCAAAACAGTGGCCGTGTCTAGCGTCCATTTTGACCGTAAGTCTGACAATGACGACATGCTGCATATGCCACTAAGAAATTACATACAACATGCACGGGCGACGACACAGCGGGAAACTTGAGCGACCCCACTTCCCCTGCCCCCCTCCCGCAACAGATAATTGTTTTAGTGTGTGTGTGTGGGGGGGGGGGGGGCAGTCGATACTCAACAAGTTCTGGGAGCGAGGGGTTCAGCTTCTCCTCCATAGTATAAGTGGGGGAGGGGGGGGGGGTAGACTACCGTCCTCTCACTCCCACGAACATGTCGATACGTTACATGTATTTGTTTCCGCATTTTGTTTTTTATATTTAAAATATTTAATTGTAGTTAATTTTTTCAGCACGTAATAATAGCTATGACAACGCACTTCAACACGGCTTTGGATCCTAGAATCCAATCCCTCCCGTCCCTAACTATTTACAATGAGCCCGTGCCCACCCCCAGCACCCACCCCCTTTTTTCACAATTTCCCCCTCCCCCGCCCTGCTCCTTTTTTCACAATTTGTTCCCCTCCTTTGTATTTTCCCACTCCCCCTTCCCCCCCCCCACCTCCCCCGACATGCATAGGATCGCACCTGATACAAAGATCAAGATGTCACATATCTCATTTTCCGGTAAATCTATTTCAGTTGCGTAAGATAATGATCGCTGCAAGCAGTGAAAAGACATCGCATAACCTTTTACTTACGAGATAACTGTCGATTGTATCGTAGATTAATTGCATGCAAGTATTTCTTCTTAGTTTATTTGCACGTGTTTGTCCATGTTTGTTTCGTTTTCGATTTAGCTATAAATCTTCGTGTCAGGTGCGAAAACATCTGTAATCAGGATTTCTGTTTCGTGTTGACGTAATCGATCATTTTCTTCGGCTTTTGTGGCTATATAATACTTAATACCAATATAGTTAAGTGGTGGTTGCAATTATCTGCCTGCTTACCTATGTTAACATAACAAATAAAAAATTGACGGTGAATTGTGAATCAGTTTCAAAAGAACTGTAAACTGTTTTTTATAGGTTTGAAAGGAATCACAAACTGCATGCAACGTTGCGTGGTTAATTGAGGATAAACTATAAACTACTTTAACCAGAAACTATAAATCTATCTGTTTCAAGCGGTATTAATTCGGAAATAGTTTTTTAAAAAAACCTTTTCAAAGTCCCTACTCAAATGACGACTATCGAAGCCTTTTTTTTTTTTTTTTTTAGAAAACAAACAGAAAGCACAACATACTTACTTATTTTTACGGGGAAAAAAAATGTCATGTACAAATTGCATATTTCCGACAAAGACAATTTTAAATCTCAAATTTAGTTACCAATATTATTTAGAAACTATAAAATCACTACAGGAATAGGTGCATAAAGAATAATCACTATACTGACAGCAAAATAGACAAAGGGCAGTTCGGAACTATGGAGAAAACAATTTACTCAAGAAATGTAAACTGTATAAAGTGTGCTGTTGTGGGAGACGGAATGGTGGGCAAAACATCTATGCTATATTCGTACTCTCGTGGTGTGTTTAATCATAAGTATACTGCAACCGTTTTGGAGACATATACAGGTAATTGTTTGTTCTTTATAAAGACACTGTTCTTGTTCTTCTCGTGCTTCTTTTGTCTTTATTGTTGTTGTTGTTCTTCTTCGTCTTCTTTTCTTCTTTTTCATATATTTCTTCTTCTTCTTCTTCTTCTTCTTCTTCTTCTTCTTCTTCTTCTTCTTCTTCTTCTTCTTCTTCTTCTTCTTCTTCTTCTTCTTCTTCTTCTTCTTCTTCTTTTTCTTCTTCTTCTTCTTCTTCTTCTTTTTCTTTTCTCTTCTTCTTCTTCTTTCTTCTTCTTCTTCTTCTTCTTCTTCTTCTTCTTCTTCTTCTTCTTCTTCTTCTTCTTCTTCTTCTTCTTCTTCTTCTTCTTCTTCTTCTTCTTCTTCTTTTTCTTTTTCTTCTTCTTCTTCTTCTTCTTCTTCTTCTTCTTCTTCTTCTTCTTCTTCTTCTTCTTCTTCTTCTTCTTCTTCTTCTTCTTCTTCTTCTTCTTCTTCTTCTTCTTCTTCTTCTTCTTCTTCTTCTTCTTCTTCTTCTTCTTCTTTTTCTTCTTCTTCTTCTTCTTTTACTTCTTCTTCTTCTTTTTCTTCTTCTTCTTCTTCCTCTTTTTCTTTTTTCTTCTTTTTCTTCTTCTTCTACTTCTTCATCTCCTTCTTCTTCTTCTTTTTCTTCTTCTTTTTCTTCTTCTTCTTCTTCTTCTTCTTCTTCTTCTTCTTCTTCTTCTTCTTCTTCTTCTTCTTCTTCTTCTTCTTCTTCTTCTTCTTCTTCTTCTTCTTCTTCTTCTTCTTCTTCTTCTTCTTCTTCTTCTTCTTCTTCTTCTTCTTCTTCTTAATGCTTCTGATTCTTCCTTATAATAATAATAATAACCGGTATCTTTTTATGGCTGTCAGTTTGCCTGTCTGTCTATATCAGTCAATAAATAAGGCTAAATATCTGTCTATCTAGGGAGCAATTGGGTAATTTTCCTGCATGTTTCTGTGAACTGCAGTTTACCTTTCGGTCGAAATATATTTCTTACTGTACAAGTTTGTGTCACATTTTTGGCATCGTAATCACACGTTTACCTTTGCACTGTCACACTTAGGCCCCCTCCACCTTCCCCGTGTTTCATCTTGCAAATATTAACTTGGGCTGAGTATTGGGCGTACAGGGCTAGATCTATATTTTATAGACCATTCGGCAATTGATTGGCGATGTAGTTAGCATCACGCCTGAGGCCTTTACTTCCCAGAACTTGTACCTCGTACCCAATCAAGGCTTGGTCAACCTGGCAGACAAAGTCATTTTTGAAAAAAAAAGTTCGGCTCTCTCAGGACCCCCCAACTCACGACCTTCTGATCCGTAGGCTGGCGTCTAGCCGCTATACCACTGCGACTCTCGTATCCGGAGTACTGTAAAGAGATTCTAACTCATAACTAAACTAAATGTCGAAAAAGGAATCGACACCATAGCACTTGGGAGACTCCGATAAGAGTTTTGGATGCTTTCCCAATATCTTCCCCAAGGACGACGTCAACCCCAACCCACCTAAGTCCCACGACAGCATGCAGCCTATCTACTACCTTGGAAAATATTCGACTGTCTGTTTGGGGGCAGATACTAGTATAGAACCGCGCTTCGTCCTCATCTTTAGCAGCAAGCGAAGAGTTCCAGTCCTGATGGTACCACCTATGTAAACAATGTAGGTGAAAAGATGGTAAAGACAGTTTGTTGTCTCTATTATGGATACATGTTTTAATTTTCATTTCAAAATTCTTTTTTGTACAGTTTCCTTGAGGACTGGTGAAGACACGATATTGGTAAAAATCTACGACACTGCCGGACAGGTTAGACAAACAACATGTATTATGAGTTAATTTTGTTTTCTGCATTTGAACTGGTTAAGTACATTAGGTAATGAAAAGTGAGTTTTTGAAATCAACACAGAGACATTTGAAATATTCCGCCACATTAGGAGATATAATACTCTTTCAAAAGCCAAACTAGAGGGAAAAGTTGAAGGCAAGACTGCAAGAGGTAGACAATGATACAATTGGGAGAACAACGTTAAGAGATGGGCGAATAACAGTCTGAGAGAGTGTACCACCAAAACAAGAAACAAAGAGTGTTGGAGATCAATTCCAGTCAAACTTCATTATGAAATATGTTGAGTTAAGAACTGACAACACCGTACTCAGGATATTTACATAAGCGCCCCGTCCTCACCTTGAGCAGACAGAGAAGAGTTTCAATTTCGATGCTGCCAGTTATATAGTTAGCAAAACATCAGGACACTACCTGGTATCCCTGTTCAGGCTGACCCCAACTTAAAAGCCTACACTGCAGTGCTTAATGGAATCAAATCAATATACAGCTGTCGGTAGTACAAATGTGGTTCCAGAGGGAAAAACATCGTGCTCACAAGATTGAGTGTGTTTTCTGTTGCAGAGGTTTCACACTAAAGCGAATTAACCAGTCTTCCAGCCTTAATATAGGCTTTTTTTTTTTCAGAAATTAGTCAAAAGTGGTGTGAGGGTATAATGAAAATAGTTTGTGATTTGGTCCCAACGAGCATGTGTGTATACATGTGTGACTTTTTGTTGTTTTTAACAACTACTGCAGCCAATTTTATGGTTGGGTCTGTCTGAAAATTCATGTCATTTTCTTAAAGTTGGCTTTGATTATGTTTTAACAATGAATCCGTAAAAACTATAACCGATGAAACCAACAGACATGCGTGCTGCTCATTCTGGCATCCAACTAAGATTTGTTGGGAAACGAATGATCTGACTAAGTGGCTGGTTCAGCACCACTAGATAGTAAATTTATATATTTTGCGCAACCGTAGTAAGTACTCTTTCGGAGCACATGAATGATTCAATAGGAGTGACCAAATGTTCTAGTAGACACTTGAAGGTATGAAGAAAAGGCAAAAAGAACATGCAAAACATAGCTACATATGACAACAGAAGGGTTCCAAGTCTGTGTTGGCTGCTAAAGATCAATCGATCTGTGTGCCTCCATCCCCTGAACTGCCACCTACAGGTTTACCATAAATCTCAATCTGGATGTCAGATCAATAGTTTCGTCGCCCAGCTTCTGAGTTGAGTGCATGACGTGACACTGTGAGCAGCGGATTTAATTTAAAATGCTTTTCGACTGTGCCCAGCGTGGCGGTGTGAATTGTAGATTCAGAAAATGGCGCGATTTCTGTTTACGCAATATTGGTGGTGCCATTGTGTGATTAAAATTGATCGCGTGTGCAACTGTTGATCTGTTGGTGACTTCTGTTACCATCCACAATGAATTGCATTTCTAATGTCGGACTGTTTGTGTGAGCACTTCCAATGGCTGTCGTATTCTTTTAATGCGTGTGTATGCTAGATATGCTGAGACAGCAGTCTGTCAATTTTTCCACAAGGGACTGTGATAAACATTCTAAGTGTTTTTCGTTGGCACAGGAGCGGAGCAGCTATGGGGTGACCCGTTTGCTTTGAAGCTGAAACTAAGATTACCAGATTACCAGTCAGATGAGCACGTGGCTGGACCTTATTTCTTCCTTGACACCTGAAGTGTTAAAAGAGGACATGACGAAGAAGAAGAGGACTTCGTAAGAATGGTGAAATGTCAATTATTTACCCTACACTGTAAATGTCTTGTATTTGTAATATTTAGCTATATTACTCTTTCAGAATGACTTTGAAAAATTTCGTGTTGATCCGTACCTGGAAAGCGACGTTATCATTCTGTGTTTTTCTGAGACCGATATGGAATCATTCTCCAACGTTATTCAAGTGTGGATGCCAGAGATCAAACAACACGTTAACAGAAAAATTCCTGTCATCCTTATCGGCACAAAGACTGACCTGCGTGGACGTGTGAAGTCTGTGATAAAGCGGGAAGATGGACTTCAAATGGCGAAGTTGATCGGTGCTGCCGCTTATGTGGAGTGTTCTGCGAGGAATGGTGTCGGTCTTGACATTTTATTTACAACAATTATCGAATGTGCTTCGAGAACAAATAAGCGAAAGAACAGTTTTTTGAACAGGCTGTTAAAACGATAACCAGAAAATGGTTGAAGCATAAAGGCGGATCAGTGTTATCAGTAGGCAAGTGCGACAGACACATGCACGTTCAACTTCATAGTGAGGCATACTTAGCTTTATGAAAAGACGTCTAATATGGGACAATCGACAAAAATGCAATAAAGCCGCCCAAGCTTTAATCCAAGTGAACAATTTTGAAACACAAGCATGTGAATATGAATACTAAAAGAACACTGTTTAACACAGCATTTTACCAACTCTGTGCTATCAATGTCAAACATGGACACTGTCTTCAGAAGACAGAAGGAAAATAGTCACGACAGAAATTAAATGGTTGCCTACTGTGCTAGGTGTGACGAAAAAGATGGACTTAGGAACGATGATATCAGAAGGAAATTCGGCACAGAACTAATACTCAACTTTATAGGTAGACAATAAATCAAAAGGTTTGGCCATGTAACAAGACTGGCAACAGACAGGGCAATACAGAAAGCAATACCATACAGATACAACGGTAACATCCAGAGGTCGACCACGCAGAATATAAAAGGCAGAGATATCAGAGACACTAAAAATACTTTATAGGAAGCGAACAGAAGGGCCCGTCACAGAGATCTCTTGCTGCCCTGACGCCGCAAGGCATTCCAGGAGAAGAGAAAATAAAACCTACCATCTGACATTAGTTCCTGAACTGGTATATGTCTTTGTTGTGTCCTCTCCGGGCTACCACCCAACGGTTGATCAAGCCTGAGACTTCAGAATCTTATCTTGGATGGCATCCTGATATGGAACTATCTTAGATATCCTAAGATTATTTTTAAAAATGTATAAATGAGGCATTCCTAACGGTTACATTAGTTTGGTGTAGTATGCGGCTCTTTGTGGGTAAGGATGTGTTTCTGCCTCGGGTGAACCTTAGGCTGGGACATCCCATCTGATTTAAATACTAGGTAACTTATTAATAAACATTTGTGTTTTGTTAAAAAGGTACACTTTTCCTCTCCTTTCATGCCTTTTGGGTCCATAGGGCTAGCCCTAGATTTTAAGAACAAAACGGCTCTTAGTGGGTGATGTGATCAGCATCACGCCGGCGGCCTTTAGTTCCCAGGACTGCATCTGGTACCCATTCAAAACTGGGTCGGCCTGGGTGTCGTATGGCAGTTTTGTCGCGCACCTTTACATATGGATTATTTTCACAAATCCCTCAGGTGCTCTGAGACAGGGGTGTTTTGAATGGTGGCTCTCGTTCGTCTAGAGGCCTAACCCTCGGTTCAAACTTCCATTCAACCTGTCTCAGGAATGAGGTGACTCGAGCTCTGACTCCACAGGGTTACTATGAACTCTTGGGTACCTCTCGGCCAGACATCCCCATTACTAACTTTGCCCCCAGACTGGTAAACAACGTATCACAGTCAAATATATACAGTGAATATGACAAGACACGAATACCTTTCTGACTATGACAATTGATTCACTAACACCAAACCTTTCGAAGAACAAAGAGTCTTATGAACTAAACCCTCAATGTATTCAATACTCAATAACAAGAAAGATTAAAAGTGGCATGAAGAACTAGACTGATTGTTCAAGTCTTTGAAGAATAGAGTCTAGAGAAAAAGTCTTTCTATACAGCTACATCCATTTCCAGTTTCATCATGGCCTCGGAAAGCGGATACGGAATATGAAGGCACATCGGGACTTAAGCTGCTTACTTTGTGCTACTTCGTCTTATCTGGTTGGATCCTGCAGCTCCTCAAGGTGCCGGAAGGTGGAATTCTGCAACGACTCGCTTCTCAGAATGTCTCCGCACGATTGAGATTACCCCCGGGGATTGATTAAATGACAATCAATTTCCCAGAAACTGATGGATGTAGACTTCACAGACAGTTAACATATCAAAAGATGTCAGATCAGCTCAGGTCGGTTGCTTCCCCGGTGTTGGTTGGTGGAAGAACACGACTACGCCACGGACGCTTGTTGGATCTTCCAAAATCCTGAAATTAACAAGGCAACACACATGAGCAAACCGTACCCAATGTACCCTGTTAATCACTCTCCTCACGCTCTCCACATGCTCAGACGTAAATGAGGCTAGTCCAAACCATGAAGGTTGACTTCCTATATCTTGGAACTTGTGCAGTTTCCCAGAGTGGGCACTAGAGTCATACGTACGTTTCTATTAACTCGAACAGTTTCTGAATTCTGTCCTGTAGCGAAAGCCAGACAGATCTCTATCATTCCCCATCCCTCTAAATATACCCTTTTCACTAGTAGGAAAGATAAGATATAGGAGAGGAGGACAAAACCAAGATAGAAAGAAATATGCTCCGAAAGCATTCCTAGGCCTAAGCTTGTTGTGGTTACAGTAGCTCCTAGCACCAGCGGATATGACGTCATGCCTGACCCGAAGCTTCTTGTCCTTTCCAACGGTCTATCGACTCAACAAGTTCAGAGATCGAATAAAAGATAACAACTGATCATACAAAGTTAACAATACTATAAATACACTCCAGATAGGTGGATTGATTGATCCGAAGAGGTTTAAAAAGCCGGCTCGAAGAATTCACAGAGAAATTTCAGCCGAAAGTGCATTCCAACCAGGATCGCTATCCGCCGTCTTTCATCGCAGGCGATCGTAGACAAACAGATTCGCATTATCAATCTGCTGACCTTTCTTACACACACATACAGGCACTGAGCACAAATATTCAATTAAATCCTTTTAGGAAAACTTACCCATGACAAATGGATAAAGAGAATACAGAATCCTGTCTTTTTTAACGGTCAAGTGGCTACAAGAATGCAACACGTTCGCTCACTTGAACGGACTACAAAGAAGTGACGTACAAACTATAGTCCCTATCTGCAGCAGTTGGCGTGAGAATATGGCTCAAGTACACTGTGAAGCGGTCAGACAATTAATCTTAAAAAGGCGTAGAAAATGTGTCTTAACATGTAAATTGACACTAAAAGCCTAAAAGAAACAATCTAAGAGTGATTTATATGGATTTCTTACATCTGGACTCCCCCACAACAAACGAACTATATAACTACGGACGGACTATCCGATATCATAGTTACAATGACGATTTTGGGAGTGTTCAGACTGTGGGCCTGCCTATAGAGGTAGGTGTGTGGATTCTGTAATGTGACACTGGGAGCCAAGGTCATTTTTGAAAAAAATGTTCGCGGCTTATTTCGTAGCAGTGTGATAGTATCTGACAGTACACGGCTGACTAAATCAGATCAGAATGTTTACTTCTGTGCTCTTCCTCTTTTCATTTCTATTCACGCACTGAGGTCTTATAGGGGATGGGACGAATGTACGGTATTGTGTGCACGGTTTTTCAAATGTTGCAAACGTTGATTTTCATTTCAATGAATCAGTACTTTGTGCTCTCTGTCTGGGAAGAGTTATGAATACCACCGGTTTGCAATACCCAGAATTGAATACAGTATACATTTTTGCATTGAAACAGTTGATAAAATATGGAAAGGGAGGGGGATGTTGATGTCAAGGAGTGGTAGAGTTCATTTTGTTTTTGGTATCGGGACCTCGGAGAGTCTAGTGCAGTAAATTGCATTTTAGACACACTGATACTGTCCACACGCTTGGTTTAACGATGAATACGCTAGTATCACGGACTCCTTTGGAGAGCGGAGCAAAAAAGAAGGACTTCCAACTTAATTTTTCAGCATCAGTTGGTGAATATGATTCTTCTGTTGTACCTCTTGAATTGCCAGTAAAAACGCTGTGTTGTAGTTAGCGGCTAGGCTGCGATATCCACGCCCATCAGCGGAACATGTAGAATTTTAGCAAAGTTGTAGTTAGTCGCTTTTTAAGAAGTCTTTGTAAAAGGTGCAATAGGTCTATTCCTTTTACCAAAACATGTGGTTACACGCGGAACTAAGCCAATAAAACATTGATGTTGAAGTAGCCTAGTCATTAGAACATGAGACAAAAATTAGTTTCGTTAATTAACAACCAAATTAGCACAATTAATCACTGCACTTCTTTAATCACTTTTTTCTTGTACCACACGGTTTGTTGTTGATTATCTCTTGCATATATTTGTTAAACTCTATTATCAGCACATTATTCATTCTCATTTTATGTTTACTTTACAATTTAAAATAAATTTCTAGCTTGCAACCTTAGTCATATTCTTATGGGAGGCAACTTTTCATTTTTTTTAAAGCCCCACTCTGGCTCTTGCCAGGGGCCGCAATATAACCCACCCATTAATACGGCCTAATGGCTGAATGCGGTTTCTGGGACCTTTCCACGGTTGATCCTCATCCAAATGGTGGCACTTTGTGTCATCGGGTGTTTATCGCTTGTGTGATGTCCTTGTGGAGAAAAAGTACTACTACTAATACTATGTCTAGCAGCTACAGATGATATTTGTATTCTCTAGCCTCTCCTACCCCTAGCCCCCCCCCCTAACCCACACATCCTTATTCTACCCCGCTCCGCCACTCCTCGCAGCCCTCCCCCTTGACCGCCGCCAGTCGAGCATTTGCCCTATGTCAACCGCTGGCAAGCTACTTATCTTCTGCTCTAAAGTGTAGCTACACCTCATGTCATCCCAGGCTTTTCCTTTACTTTACTGAGAATGTTTTTTTCTTTTTAGCCTGACGGGATCACTACAATCTCATTTTGTTTGTTTGTTTGTTTGTTTGCTTGTCAATGTCAGACCAATTAGTCTGTAATGTTCATTTATAGGGGTATGTATTAATACAGTTGCAATTTTATGCGTTGACAAAATCATGGTTGCCATGGCAAAAGCTGCCATCTTTAAGACAAAACCTGTACTTATAATCCTAAAATTTCAACAACAACAACAACAACAACAAAAACATAAATATCGAGAAATAGATGACGGATTCATGGACTCTAATCCTATGATGTGGTACAGGTGTTGTTTATTTAATTTAAAGAAGTTTGTAAAAATATTTCTTAGAATGAAAAATGTTGCATCAAAAGACAATAATCATGTTTTTTTTTTTTTAAAACA